TGGGGAAAAACAAAAGCTTTCTGCAGTGACCCCAGCTTTGCCACTCCCTCATCCCAGCTCTGACAGCTGACAGTTCCCATCCCAGGACAGCTCACAGAGACATAGGTGTGGCACAAAGTCATAGGCCACTGCCCCAGAAGGGCTACACTGGATAGGCTCTTGGATGCCACTGAATCCCAGGGCTGTATCTCAGCTCTGCGTGAAGCCCTGGTGCATCTCCTGGGCCTGAGGCTGGCCCACAGGGGTGAAAGTTGGGGCCATGAGCTGCCCAGTTCTGCCTGGCTTTGCAACAACCTCCCTGTGCCCACCGGTGCCCCGCAGCATTCCACGTCTTCTTTCCGATTTAAATGTCCCATTTAAATACCAGGAAACTCTTGGTGCCTCGAAGGCCACCTCCCTCCCGGATGGATTCCTGGCTGGAGGAAATAGGGTAATTTCTAGGGCCCCCATCTCCTCGAAGGCCAGGGTAGCCTGGCTCCACCGCGTTCTCACCTTACAGGTCTCGAGTCTGCACCAAGTCTCTCCACTCACATGAAAGCCCTCAGCAAGACCCTTTCTGAATGCAAACAGCGAGAGTATCATCTAAAGACAAAGCCTTGGGGCTAGGGATTTAGCTCAGTGGTTCCGGTTCCTGCTTCCCAAGCGCAAGGTCCCAAGTTCGATCGCTGGTACCAAAAAAAAAAAAGACAAAGCCTTGAAAAATTCTTATTCTGCACCTACTGGACCCATAACTGCTGTAGGCAGGGAGCGAGGCGGGCCCCCAGAGCAGATATGCTACAAAAATGACTTTTTTTGGCCCAGGTCACTGCGTGCAATTTGCTTTGACTCTATCTTTCTGTTGTAAGAAGGATATGAATCACAGTTAAATTCTACCAAATAAACAATCTATGTTTTAAAGTTCCATAAAACCTACAATTTTAGAAAAGCTTGATGTGGTTGACACTAAATTGATTCTAACACATCCTATTTCTGGTCTAATGCTGGGCCCTTTCATCAAGAACAAACATATTCATAATGGCTTGACTCTATGTGACTGGGCTCTGCATATATACATAGGAAGCACAGGCATTCACATTAATTTTCCTCCTTTTTTAAATAAAAAGAGATGATGTATTTTACTTCTCAAAGATTGACTTCCCACAAAATTTTCAGCACATTCTCATTTGAAGTTTTCCTGTGTAAACAATCAAACGCAGGCCAAACCCAAAGCTCACTAGTTGTCAAGGTCAAGAGATGCCCTAGGGGCTGAAATCCAGGTGCTGAGGGGAAAGTTGGAGAAAGCAGCTTCCACCTACCCGGTCTCTTGAGCTGAAAACCTGCTTTGCCCTGGATCCAAATGCAAGCATTTCCACTATGGCAAGAACTCAACCACCAAATAAAATTGCACTGAGAAAAAAAATTACTTATTTATTTTTGGGGGGAGTACCTGGAATCGAACTCAGGTCCTTGGGCTTGCACAGCAGGCGGTGAAACCACTAAGCTAAATCCCTGACCCAAATTAATGAATCAGTATTGATATATTATTGTTATCTAAAGCTTATATTTTATTTAGATTTAACTTTTTTTTTTTTTGGTACCAGGGATCCAACTCGGGTCCTTGCGCTTGTGCAGCAGGTGGCAAAACCACTGAGCTAAATCCCTAGCCCCTTATTCTTAAAAATACTAACAAACATTAAATTTTAAAACCATGTGGCAAATTTATATGTATGATAAAATGTCACAGAACTACTGATCAAAAGAAACATGCATATAAAAAACAGTGAAAAACAAATCAGGCTTAGTTCAGGGTATCATAGACAAGTCAGTCTTGGTTTTGATCACTGTACTGTGGTTATGTGAGAGGCTGTCTTTGGAGGATACTGGGTACACTGATTATGCTACCTTTTGTATACGAAAGTGTATGTCTGCTGGCTAAAGTTGTTTTGAAGTAAGAAGTTAAATTTTTTTTTTTTTTTACTTTTTTGAGGCTTCGTAAAGTAGAAAGATATGAGCCCTTGCCAAACTGAGTGAAGGTACAGGCTGGCAAGTCATTCAGGAAAATAATCTCATGATATCCAGCCCAAGATAGAATACACCAACTCAGTCACCCCTACCTCTAGGCATCCAGCTTACAAAACCCTCTGTACATGTGCACAGAGTGTGTTCTTCACAGCATTGCTGTCACGGAAAAATACTGGAAGCAAACTTGACCTGTAGGAGTAGGGAAGAAAGAAGCCAATGTGGAACGCCATGCTGTGCGCTCACGAGAAGAAACAGGAGTTGTGCTGTCTGCAAGGCTCTGCTACGTACAAAATGTGGTCACAGTTGGGCGTGGTGCTGCACACCTGCAATCCCAGCACTCGGGAGGCTGAGGCAGGAGGTTTGTGAGTTTGAGGTCAGCCTGAGCTACATAGTGAGTTTAAGAGAAGCCTAGGACTACATAGTGAGACCCTGTCTCGAAAAGAAAGAGAGAGAGAAAAGGAAGAAATGTAATTACAAACCTCTTAAGTATAGGAAAATCTGTACTTCCCTGAAACTGTATATATGTATATACCCTTTCCATGGCTTTATTAGCATGGAAAATATTTTAAATGATTCACTCTCAGCAGGTCATAGTGGTTGCATCTAGGGTGGCACGTTCTTCACTTGGGTGATGAAGAGTTACTTTCATGTTGTTTCAAACACAGGACAATGAGACAGTGAGAACAACCATAGGAAAAAACAAGAAAGAGGGATGATGCAGGCAGGGTGGGAGGCCACCAGAAGTACGAAAAGACCTGACCTGGGAGTCCAGGAAAGGTGAGGCCACCAGGCCACAGGAAGTCCGTGGGGTAGCCCAAGTGGCCAGGCACTGGAGGCAGGTTGCTGCCATGCAGGCTGGCTCACCCCTCCCCACGAGAAGTGAGAACCTGCAGGTGTCTCATCTGCAGCCAGGAGATGTGCAGAGCCGTCTCATGGAAGGGGTCTCCTTCCCTGGCCCACTCTGAGTCTTGACCTAACAGTGACTTTGAGAAACAAGAAGTGTCAAGCGTGAGCGGAAGTTTTCAGAACTGTTGTGAGGGTCCACCAGCTCTGGGGCCCTTCTCCCTTTAATATCCATGACAGGGACCCAGAATGAAGGGGACCCGAGGTGCAGAGCCATCTGGCAAGCACCATGAAATACGGGTGAGAAGTAAAGCCTTGTTGGGGTAAGTCACAGAGAGGTGGGCATTTGTCACTGGTCACCGGCTCATCTCATGAAAGCTGATGCTGATGCAATGGGGAGCATGTGCACACCCGTGCACACAGTCACAAATTAGGGAGCTAAGAAGGATGTGGTAGGTGTTCATCAATGGCAAACCGTGCAAAGACCACACACTGAAGGTGGGGCCAATGGGTGAGCAGCAGCAGGGCAGCCCTCTCCCTGGGGAAGACGACCCTCAAACACAGCTACATGCACATCAATCCAGTAGCATGAGCTCCCAGGGGCAGGGTGGGACAGGTAGAGAAAAGATACTGGAGTGATGCCCTGGGGAGGAGGCAAATCCCACATCCCAAGTGCAAGTACCCACTTTGTGTGTTGGTATCTAACGCACACGGGCACTCGCTGGGCTGAATCGGGACATTTTAATAAAGCACAAAACATTTACCAGTGTTTAATCACCCTCTCCTTCAAGTTAAAGCTTCCAGGAAAATCCCCACGACTTGGAGATCCTGGTGGGGCTTCTGTCTGGGGAGATGGACTCTGTACCATGCAAAAGCCCTTCCTGGGTGAGATGTTCTGTGTCTCAGAAATGATCAAAGTATGACTATGTTTCCAGACACCAGCCGTATCTCATTAGAAGGAGGTACATCTTTGTGTAAAAGATGTTCTCTTACAGGAGACAAAGGCACAGGAGTTCTGTGGAGAGTATAAATACCAAATTTCCCCTCCTCGGGTACACAGTTGGGTTGCCACACTTCATTCATAATCTTTTCCTACACATAACCGCTTGTAATATTATCCTCTAAATCCGGATGTTTCTGATGAGACTCTCCCTCACTCATCCCTGCCTCTCTTCGAAAATGACACGAGTGAGCCACTACTAGGTCCTTCGGCAAGATTCAGGCCGGTGAGTGCAGGAAGCAAAATGTGAGACTTTCTCTATAGCATCCTCCTTCCCCCCACAGCACCCCACACCCTGCATTTCCCCTTCAATGACAGGGACAGGTGTATTTATAGCCTTTGCTTTCCTTCCTCCCTCCTCCCACCCGTCATTCTCTATTTCCTCCAGAAAGGAGCTGCATGCACTTTTCTTTCAAACCCCTCATCATTCTTATTTTCTCTTCCTTGCCATTCCTAGGGCTGATTTCCTGAAGCTCTGAGTGTATCTGCTGGCTCGTGAGCAGTTTTGGCTGCTGTGGATGTTAAACTCGGAAAACATTCCAGTGGCATTAGGTTCTGCCAGGGATAGGACGGTAAGGAGAGTTGAGGCTGGGTTTGCTGTGAAGTTATTAAAGTCACCTTGGGCAGAGATGGCAGGGTTGAGTGGTGGGAAAGCACAACTCAGGGTGACCTACGAGCCTCACGCTTCCAGAAGAGCAGGAGAGCCTTCGTGGTGCACCGGATGTGCTGTCTCTGAGTCCTGGGGTTCCAGCCAATTCCACCTCTGTCTCACCACCCTCACCCACACCCCTAATTCCTCCCCTCCTCCTTCCCTTCCCCTCACCCACCCTTGCCCAGGTCACAGCAGGATTGCTCAGCAGAGGCATCAGGCGTATTTGTGGGAAGCAACCTTCCTGTGTGTTCCTATGCAACAAAATCGAGTGTATGTGTAGGTGTTCTGTGTTTTTACAAACTCTCCTCCTTGGTTGTTATAAGATTAAAACAATTTTCTCCCTCAGTAAATGCTCCCCTTCAAAACCACTGGAAGCACATAATTCACCAGCCCATTTGTGGCTCTTATTTTCTTGGGGCTGGAGGAAAACACAATTGCCGTTTCTGAGAAGAGGCCAGGGTGGAACAAGTGATGGGCATGGAGAAGTAATGTTTCCATGACAGCTCTGATCAACGATTCATTTATTTTTAAAGTTCAAAAAAGATAGGTGTGCATCGTCAGTCCAGTGGGAAGGCACAGATAGTGGGTTTTGAAGTAAATTACTCTTTTATCCTCAGTAAATTTAATGGACACTTTCATTAAAAACCACAGGGAATTTTAAGGTAGTTTTATGCCTATTTTAAAACTATAGTTGAAGATTTTTTTAAAATTCCTGGATCACTTCTGTTGCTGAGAAATCTAAACATTTTAGCCGTGCGGTCCATTTCATTTTCCTTCACAAGGATGGGAAATTGTGACGCACACCTGAGGACACAGAAACACCATTTAAAATCACAACAGATTTCAAGGAAAAACATACACAAAGGAGAAAATGAAAAGCTGGCCCAGTTGATGTGGGGTGGGGGTAGGGGAATACCAACTTATGTTTGTCCTTGAAAAAATAAATTTACCTGTCACTGATCAGCGATGCCAGTTTGCCACCAGCTACTGAAAAAGCATTCCCGCTGACTGTAAGCAGCTCCATTTATGCAACTGTTTACATAATTACACAGCCAAACATTGCAATCTTTCCGACTTAATACATGTTTTAACAAGCCTTTCAACTACAGTGCAGGCTTCTATAATCAAATCAAGTCTTTTCAATTAAAACACAATTAGAAAAGGTGTCATGGTGTCACTGTTACACTTTGCCGCATGAAAGGATTCAAGAATCACTTGGCTGGAAATCCGAGCTAAACCAGGACGCCTAAGCAAGGATGTCGTGTTAGACCACCCAGGATGACAACCAAGCCGTGACCTTTGGTCTTATGTGAGACATGCAAACTCTCATCCTTGGCCATTGCTTTGTGATCCACTGAAGGCAGCAGATGAAAACCCAGGCAGCCTACAGAAGTGAAGAAATCTGTGGCTCTGGGATTGACCTATGGGCACCAATAGGTGTGTCATGGGCAAGAAGTGGTAGCTACGAGGCTGCCAGAGAGAGCCACCTCACAGTGGCCTAAAGTGACAGCACAATGGGACTGTAGGGATATAAACTATTTCAGCTGTCCTTGATCTCACTGCTTCACTGTAAAGATGTAAAACAAGCCTCATAGAAGGTACTTGATTTGCTGGAGGCCATAATGTTAATCATTTTGTGAAACAAAGGAAAATGTGCACCTGGCCCTCCCACCCCAACTGAAGGATCCTTATGTAGAGCAGACATCCAAAGGAGGCCTAGCTCCCAGCTCTGAATCTGAGAGGCCTTCAGGAGACAGATGGTCTCCTTCCATCCTCACACCCAGTAAGCATGGTCAGAACTGATTGCAGCAGTGGCCATCTGAAAAAAGCTGTGTTCATGTTGAACCCTGGAGCCTGTAAACGTTATTTGGAAAGAGGTCTTTGCTGGAGTAATTAAGTTAGGGATCCTGAGATAATGAGATCATCCTGGATTACCCCATTGTAAATGCAATAACAAGTCTCATATAAAAAAGACACACAGACACAGAGGAGCAGGTAATATGGAGGTGGAGGGAGAGATTGCAGTGATGCAGACATAGCCAAGGAACATCTGGAGTCACAGAAAGCTGGAAGAGGCAATTCTCCCCTGGAGCCTTCAGAGAGGCTGTGGCCCTGCCAACACTGATTTCAAACTTCTGACCACCAGAACTGGAAAGGAATACATTTCTGTTGTCTTAAACCAACCAGTTTGTAGTAATTTGTTATGGGAGCTGTGGGAAACTAACACAGTTGGCAAAATGCTATGGCCTGCCCTGCTTTCGGCCTGATGAGGCTGACCAGAAGAGCTCTATCAATGGGGTCTTGGGCTTCTGGCTGGGCTTAGTTGGTGCAGGTTCTGGAGGGAGGAGAGGTGAGATGTGAAATCTCTGGCTTCCTTCCAGGGGTCATCATGAGCTGGCTCTGTCCCCCAAGCTGAAGGTTGTAGCTCCTCTCTGAGGGATTCTCACCTTCCGGGTTCCAGGCTGGTCCCTTTCTCTCACCTTGCAGGCATGCTGCCAGCCCTGGTCCTCCTGGGTACCTGCTCACATCTTTCTAAACAGTCCCTTTATTGAAACATCCTCAAGTTCATTAAGTGTGCCATGTATATCCTGCCAAGAGGTTGTTTACTATGCTTTATAGAAGTAGCAATAATTGTTTTATGGTATATTTTATCTATTTTATGGCATATTTTATCCATTTTATGGTCCATTTTATTCCATCTATTTTATAGTGCATCTACTTCTGAGCATTTCACTGGAAGTAGATCAATAGATCATTTCCATTTCTCTATGAAACAAGGTTGGTGGGTATGGCTACTGCTTGGCCAATGAGGAAGGTGAGGATCACAGAGGTGAAATGTCTTCTTTCATTACTGTTCTGTTGTACAATGTAGCCTTTAATTCCCATTCCCAGGCTGTTTCTCAGACTAAGCTGTAGGCCAGGAATGGCAGATCCCTGGTGGTCTGGCTGTTGATGCCCCTAAATTCACTGCCAGGGCAGACATCACTAATCAATCACAATCTTCCTTCCGACTGAGTCTAGACTTCTCTTTCTCAATGCAGACAACAACAGTGTAGGCTTCTATAATCAAATCAAATCTTTTCAATTAAAATACAATTTTTAAAAGGTGTCATGGTTCCAATCTAACCAGCTTCCCTAAATATCCTCTGGCCATCTCCTCCAAAGGTGTCTACAAGGCAAGTCCATTTTTTTTCTTTGAAGAGACAGAGCTCACCTGGGATTATCTGAGGGCCTCTGGGGCTTGAGGAGGATCAATGGGTACTTAAAAAGTTTGGGTAAGGAGTCTTCTATTGCTGGTGAGGAACAGAAGCTGCAGGGATCATAGAGGCAGAAGGCAGAGAATGGAGTTTTGCTAGTGGTGGCTGCAAAAGGGAAGACATGCATCAGCTGCCACTGAGAGGGGGAACTTTAAGGGAGAATCCAAGGAATTTACAGAGGATTTTAGGGAGTTAAACGTGTGTGGGCTGATAGGCCTTTCTTCATTGTTTGCCACCTCTACAAATCTCTAGTAGAAATCTCTATACTGTAATTATTTTGCAGTCTGATTTGTGTGATCATGGGTGTCATAGAGCATGAGGCTGACCTCCAAGTTGAGCTTTACAATTACCTGAACAGGTCAAAAACTCTAAATCCTGCAGGCAAGAGACCTGTGGGACTTCAACACAGCACTTCCTGGAACTGGTTTATTTCCAGAACCTTTTTCCTGGCTCATCGTATTAATGTCCAGGGAGCATCCTGTTCCCTACAACAGTGTGGTGAAATTATGACAAGATCCATATTTATGCTGTGATCTTTCTTTATTCAAATCATGGGTTAAGAGTTCTTCTTTTGGAGGACAAATGGCCTTTCAAATCCAGGCAGTCCTTGACGTTTGCACATCTGGTGCTCAGCAATGTTTATTCATAGATAACCCTGTGCCCCCTTCCCATGTCATGCTCAGACCTGGCCAGCATGGGCTTACAGCATGGGGTAGCAAGTCAGCAACCCCACCCAGGTGGGTCGGAGCAGCAAGTCATGTGGCACTTGCTGCCACAGGTTTCTCTTCCTCTGCCCTCTCCTTTTACGATTGCCCCTAATGTCAGCAGCAATTGACTGCTGCATCCTAGGATGTCCATCCATCTCTAGATGCAGGGAATGGGTAAGCTTGAGGCACAGCAAAAGGCCTAGGCGGGGACTCAGGAGAGCCACTTCCTGCAGCTGGCTCTGTTGTGGCAGCTTTTCCTGATGATCTATATGTTGAAGCTCAGTGATATGGAGACACCATCACAAACCAACACCAGGGGTATTCCTAAGTGTAGCTCTCTGGCCCTATGGGGCTCTATGACCACTTTTAACCCAACCTTGTACCCTCAAGAAGGCCAACGCTCCAGAGTCAAACACACTTGGATTCAAACCCAGATCTGGCTCTACCTTGAGTTTGGTCAACTTTCCTGGTCTTAATTTCCTAGTTTCTGAAAACAGTATGTGTGCTCTCCACATAAGATGATGATTAAATGGAAGAGTCCAGTAATGTGAATAGCCCACATCCTGGCACATGGTAAGTGCTCAGTTGATCTTAGTGATGCTGCTGTTTTCAGCAATGCATTTCAATGCAGTGATGCAGGGGAATATCCGCAGAAGAAATCGTCTCACTTCTGGAATTGGGAAGGGTGAGTGGTTCAAGTATTTGCTGGCTGAAGTTCGCTTGGATGTTTGCTGTCTGGTGCCTCTCCAGGCCTGCCCCTGCTGCTGCAATGGCCGTAGAAGTCCTCTCCCCCAACAAGAGGCCTTCTAAGAGATGCAAAGCCTCTCACCCTAACTGCTGCTTCCTCTTAGGATAAAACTGGGCACACAATGGGAAAAGGGAAACCTACAGGGAGAAAGTGTGCAGTCACCTAAAACTCTTCATGGAAGGAACCCTGGAGTCTGATTGTGGAGGGTACCTGGGAGGACAGGACACAGGCTGATGTGTAGAAGGCTGCAAGGAGCAGAAAAGTGGGAGCAACGGAGGGCTGCCAAGGGAAATCGCCAAGGAATGTGAACTTGGAGCTATGACTGACAAACACCCCCCTCCCCCAGAGGAAGGCAAACCTCCAAGTCATGGGGAGTTCTGGCGTCACAAGGTGTTTCTTCTTTTGCTTCCCCCTGGTTGGGCTCTGAACTTCCCTTATTAATTGTGATTCTCTGATTTTCCCCTCTGAGGAGGAGATTAAATGCTGAACTGGCAGGAAGCACTCTCGAAACCCTCACCACAGCTACTGCCTCATTTCGCAGCATTGTTCCTGGAGACCAGCTCAGCCCTGCACTCTGGTCGCAGGCACTTCCATTTAACTGACCTTTTGCCTTCATAAACCCCATCAGTAGGCGCTAATCCCTCTGACTCAGAGAAGGATTTTTTTTTCTTTCCTTGACTTCCACCACCTCTCCCAACCATTTCCTTTTGAAGGGAAAGTTATGTTTCAAAGTATTTCTTACATTGCACGCAGAGTTCTTTCATATTCATTATGCCAATTACCGGAAAAATTAGAGATGCATATCTTAGGAGATTTGCACAAGGTCCAATCCAGTGTTTCTCAAAGTGTGGCCCCCAGAACAACATCTTCAAAGTGACCTGGAAACATGTTAGAAATGCAAAATTTTTGGCCCCCTCCAGACCCAGTGAAGCAGAAACTCTGGGGATGGAGACAGCAACCTGTTTTGACAAGGTCTCAGGTGATTCTGATGCCTCTCAGAGATGAGAACACTTGCGCTAATCCAAGGTCCCCTCCAGGTCCTCCCCATTTACCAGACTAGAAAACTGAGACTCATGGTAATGTGCTCAAGGTCATTCATTTATTCATTCAACAAGGGATTAGACACACACCAATGAAAAACACCAATGTACATGTGGCCCTGTCCCCATGGAATCCACTTTCTACAATCAAAAAGTAACTGAAGAAATAAGATAATCACAAGTTGTGTTAGCGCCACAGGAAAACAAATGTGGGGTAAGACTGAGATGAGCCGGGAAAGAGCTTCCTGGGCAGAGGCCGTCAGAGAAGGCCTCCTGGAGGAGGTGGCAGTTCAGCTGAGTAGAAGCTGCCATGTGAGCAACAGGAGGCAGAAGGCACAGTTTGGGCAGAGGTTTCGAAGTGGGAAAGTACTTGGCCTCTTCCAGAAAGAAAATGTTGCTGCTGGCACTGCTGGAGCTGGGTGAGCAAGGAGGACAGGAGCCCAGAAGGGACCTGAGAGAAAGAGGGGCAGACAGACAGGCAGGCACTGAGGAGGAGGCGGCGCAGGGATCCATACCCAATTCCCATCAGAGCCAGACTAGGACTCCTGGTTCCAGCCACCTCCCCAGGGCTCGCTCTACTTTCTGCCCTCAGACTCCGTCTGCAGAAGGGCCTTCAGGTCCAAATCACCTTGTCCAGCTTCCTAGACCTAGGGCCAGGAGTTCCTCTCATCCTTCCTCCTGCAGAGGCATGGCAGCTGCTCCAGCTCCAGACAGCTCTGGTTTTCCTCTCTACTGTGCCTAGCATGATCAATCCCTCTTTGCTCTGGGTATTTCAAGAAGTGACTGACTTCATCCTTCCCATCCCTGTCTCCTCTTATTCCAGGACAAACATCTTTGCATCTATTACAAGGCAGTGTGGCAGCAGAGTGAAGAAGCTGAGTTCTGGGATCAAACTACCTGCATTCAAGTGTGGCTCTGATCTGGCCTCTGTACCTCAGTTTCCCCAAATGTAAAATGAACCAGGCAGGTCCACTGTGATGTTTAAAATGCTTAAAGCTTGTAAAGGGATTCAGTAGGCATTCGGCAGGGGCCAGGTGCTGCGTAGTGCCTCACAGACCTGCTTTCCACTCAACACCCCAC